CTGTTTATGGCCCCATCCAGTCTGCGTCTCCTCAGCCACTGGCCCTGGCGTTCCTCCCACTGCAGGTGTGAGTCACCTGCACCAGTCGGAGACAGGATCCCGCTGGGAGTGGAGGGGCTGCTGCATCGCTACAGACACGCACACATTTACATCAGTATATCATTAAGATATGAGCTGAAAATCTGACTAGTGGGATGTCAGCTTTACAGTGACAACACTTATCAGCACATATAACACACTTAAAAGCATGCTTCTTCAGGTTTAGTAAGCAGAAACTAAGACAAACATAGTTAAGATGTTACAATGCCAGCCCATGCTAAGAGAGTGAAATGACCACAACAAGACAAGACTGACTTGTGACACGTTAGAAATGTTAATTGGCTGTTATGGCTGGAAGTTTGTCCCATTTCAAATCAGTCAACTAATCTGAGGCATTGAAAAAAGCGTTTTTATTTATTGAGAACCAACGGACTGAATTCACCCCTCCAAGTTAAATTGATTTTTAATCTTCTAAACCGTAAAAAGTAGTATTTGACATAGTGGAGAGCAGGTGTTTGTGGAGAGGGTTTTGATAGGTTTTTCTGTAAGTTACCGTGGAACGAGGGGATGTGAAATTACTGCTGATGGAATTACTGCTGGTAAATATCTATGAGAATAAAAGCAGAACATACAAACATTTAAAATTAAAATTAAAATGGAAAGTATTTCAGATGAACGAACAGTTGAGGCATCATACAGAGACTCACAGTCAAAAAGATGCTTCATATGACTGAAAAAGATGTGTATGATATGGGCAAACTGAATATTACTCAACGTTTTCATGCTAATACTAGTTTAGCATGTTTTGTTTTATTCATGGTCTAGACAAATGTGCTGTGACCTCTAGACAGAATGGGCTCTGCACAAAAAAGCTACTCTTAAGTATTAGCAGAGCATGCCAATATTACAAACTCAACCCACACTTATGGGTCTGGAGTCATCAAGCTGAAAACAAAATAATATAAATGTAATTTAAGGCATAGTAGTGAAGAAATGTATATTTAAATTGAACAGTAAATATTTCAAAATTTTTGAAACACAAAAACACTTTATTACAGACATTTCTCTTTTTTCACTCCACCTGTTTGATTTCAGTCTTGAGCTTTCTGATGCCCGTACGCTCCGTCTTGGTGGCCCCTGTGTGTCCAAGCTCATGGATGGAGATGGCGGGACTGGTCGCTGAAGACTGAATCGGACGCACTTTCACATAATATAGAGCGATTAATGAAGAACAGCTCACACAAGAGATCACAAGAGTAGCAACATGCCTGTTTTTGAATAGGAGTATAAATTGTGTGTGTGTGTGTGTGTACGAGGAGGCAAAGTCCTCAAAGTTTTTATTTTTTTTTCCAAATGTAAACATTATTACACTATCAGAAAAAGAAGAAAAAAAAGCTATTTAATAGTTAACTTTTGACTATTTTTGAATTTTTTACTTTACCTGCTGGTGTTGCTGTTGGACAATGTTTCTTTAGTAAAAAACTAGTGATTTATACACTTTTTAATGTTATATTGTGTAATATTGGCAATGTTTTATTTTTGTACAACAAATTTTTCTCCCTTGCATCCTTGGCGGCAATGCCCCAGATAGATAGATATATGCCATGAAAGAAAGGATGTCCCTGGTGGTGTGTTCAGCACTGAAAACGTGATTCTGCCCCCTCTGGATGGGAGGTAGATGGCATTTTGTAGCAGTGCTGTGCAACAGATCTGTGAGATACTGGTCAAACATGTCTCCAGAACCTTCTGCGGCAAAACAAACCAGCACTTATCATCTTAGTTCATATGGAGTATTGTGCATATGTAACGGAGGCCAGCGAGTAGGTGCTGTGAAGGTAAACCTCACTCCCCTGATCTTAAGAGACGCACTAGCGAGACGCGCTAGGGGCTGCAGTCTTTAGCCTCCTTGTTAGTGCGTCCGCCTCCCATGCTAGAAACCCGGGTTCGAGATCCACTCAGAGCGAGAACGAGGTGTGGCGGTGAGGACCCGGGAGAGCGGGGTTACATTGGTGCCGTGACCCAGATGGGAGTGAGGTTTAGGGGGGTGAGTGTAACGGAGGCCAGCGAGTAGGTGCTGTGAAGGTAAACCTCACTCCCCTGATCTTAAGAGACGCACTAGCGACTGAAGCTAGGGGCTGCAGTCTTTAGCCTCCTTGTTAGTGCGTCCGCCTCCCATGCCGGAAACCCGGGTTCGAGACCCACTCAGAGCGAGAACGAGGTGTGGCGGTGAGGACCCGGGAGAGAGGGGTTACACATATGTGCATATGTTATGTTTAGGATGATGGTGTCCCCAATACACTTATTAACTAGCTTTAACCAACAGGATCAAGAATAGAGATGCACCGATATTAAAATTCTGGACGATAATGATTATTAAAATTCTACTCTATCATAAATTAATTCAAAATAAAATACTGAAAACTTAAATCAATCATATTAAATGTTACAAGTGAATTTATGCATCACAATAATGTACAGTATGAAAAGTGGATATTCACTTTGAGATTTGCTAAAGATTACATTTAACAGTGCTATTAGATTAACTTTTGAGTGTAGGTGATTTCAATGCAAAAACTAATCTCTAAAATCAGTAGATAACTGATACACAGTGTTATTTTAATATTAGTTTTATGCTATTATAGATTCATATAGTATTGATTTATATTTTGAATTAGCTTTTATTTTTATATTTTTGATTTTAACGCTGATAATTTGTCATGAAATTTATTTTTATATTTTTATTAGTTTTGTATTTTTATATTTAGCTTCATTTTATTTTTTATTTCAGTTTAAATTCAGTACTTTCAGTTCTTCTAATTCAAATTATTTTATTTTATTTAGTTACCAATGCAATATTTCTCATTTTTATTTACCTTTTTTTTGTTTTCAGCCAATATTTATATTTTATTTCAGATTTATTTAAACTGTAATAGTTTAGTTAACAATAACAACACTACTGATATGGTACAGAAATATTGAGCAATATGCTGGTCCATCCGCTTGACCAACACTAACCAGCATAAACCAACCTTGAATCACCAACACTTAATGTGGTCTTTTCAGTGAGCTATGCATATATTTATTTTTGGGGGGAGAAACGCTTCCCAAAACAGCTGTATGCGAGTCAGTAGGGATACCTGAGGGCCCAAAACTCTCTTCCTCCTCCTCTTCGTATTCCTCTAGCAGATTCTCTTCAGAGTCTGCGTCTAAGAAGCTGAGCTGGGTGTGGAAGGAGGTGGTGAGGAATAAGGAGAGGTTTGCCATCTGCACCCTAAAGAGCAAAGGCATTTGTGGTGTCAAATAAATCATCTTTGTGCCTTAAAAATCATACTATGGCTCTTTTAATTATTACTGTCACAATTTTTCTGACCTTGCGCCTGCAAAGTAGCCATCTTGAAGCTTCCGGAGGGTAGAGAGGATACAGGGGTCAATACTGTCGCCATCCTCAACTAGCCCAATAACAGAAACAAAGAAAATGTTAATATTAGCCTGTGCATATTACAATATGTTCAGACGGTACCATCGAACAAAAGGTTTTACCCAGCATGCTCTGTGTGATAGGGAATGTGAGGGTAGGTCTTCCAGTCATCCGCCAGCAGGATGAGAGATAAGCAAGCTCTGTACGCAACATCTCCACAATCATCTGGTTATCCAGAGCCAAGTAGAAGTGATGCTGGTCAATGAACTATGGGAAAAATATATATTGTTATAATGTTTTTTTACATTTTTAATTTTTTTGTAGTCTGACTGTAGAGTAGTTCTTCTACTATAAAATACTTGCATGTGAGGTCATTTTTATTTACCTGTGGAGTGAATGTGTAAGTACCATTTCTGATCTCATAAAACTTTGAAGTTCCCAAGACACCGATGTGCCTGTATGGTCGCCCACTCAGATCCAGTTTTTTACAGTTACCTGTGCAATGGAAAAAGGAACTGGTTTGTATCCAAGAATCTTAAAGACTTTCTACTAAATGCAGTTTTACAGATGTAGCCTTTGTTTACTCTGCCTGCCTCTGTCCTGTTAGTCATGGTGGATCTGGATCACTTACCCAGTTTCACGTAAATGTGGCTCAGGATGCGAGCTGGCATGACCCGGATGGGCGAAACATCAGAGACGGTCTGAACCTCAATCCCTTGATCCCTCAGCAGCTGCTGGATCTGCACTGACTCAGCCACTACACTCACTAAACAGAACAAATAGAGCTGCTGGCAAAAGGTCAGTTTGCTCTATTCAGCAAATTATAGAGTCAAGATCAAATTCAAAATTGAGCTTCAATAATGAATTGAACCTGCTCCTTAAATGGGCTTCAGCCCAAAGCAACCAGCTGAGTCCTTCCTACTATGTGGTAGATTTTCATTTCCCCTAATATAAAATATTAAATACTAATACAATATTAAACTCCCACCTTTTATAGATGGAAATCATACGATACAATACTGTTTTTTATTGTATCATAATCATATATCACATGTGCTATATTATATATGAGCATATATATATATATGCTATATATTTTAACATGAAAAATGTCTATTCAGTTTATTTGTTCTTGAAGCAAAATCTTTCAAACAATGAAAAATGTTTTTGTTATTGTGGAGTATTGTGCATATGTTGTGTTTTGGATGCTGGTGTCCCCAGTAGACTTATTAACTAGCTTAACCAACAAGATCAGGAATAGAGATGCAGATATCTAAATTCTGGATGATAATGATTAGTAAAATTCAACACTATTTTGAAGTAATTCAAAATAAAAACTAAAATCAATCATATTAAATGCTACAAGTGAATTTAGGCATCACAATAATGTAGAGTATAAAAAATAGATATTCACTTTGATATTTGCTAAACATTACATTTCACAGTGCTATTTAAGTGAGTGTAGGCAATTTAAATATAAAAACAAATCTTTAATCAGTTTTTAAATCAGTGGATATCTAATATATAACAGTGTTGTTTTAGAATTATTTATATTATCGTATTTATTCATATTTTGAGTTAGCTTTTATTTTAATTTTTTATTTTAACTCTAATAATCATATTTTTATTTTTATTAAAAAATCTGTCAAGTAATGTGCTTTTGTCATTTTATTAGTTTTATGTTTTTTTATATTTATATTTAGTTTTATTTTATTTCAGTTTTAGATTCAGTAATTTAAGTACTTCAAATTCAACTTATTTTATTTCAGTTGCCAATGCCAAATTTTTATTCACGTTTTGTAAGTTTAAGTTTTTCAGCTAATATTTATATTTTATTTCAGATTTATTTCAATTTTAATAGTTTATGAATGAATGATGCATTTATATAGCGCTTTATTGTGTATTGCTGTACACCCAAAGCGCTTTACAATCATGAGGGGTTGTCTCTCCTCAACCACCACCAGTGTGCAGCATCCACTTGGATGATGCGACGGCAGCCACAGGACAGCGGCGCCAGTGCGCTCACCACACACCAGCTACAGGTAGAGAGGAGAGAGAGACATAGAGCCAATCAAGTGGTTGGGGATTATTGGGAGGCCATGATTGACAAAGGCCAGGGGGGCAATTTGGCCAGGACACCAGGGTTACACCCCTACTCTTTACGAGAAGTGCCATGGGATTTTTAATGACCACAGAGAGTCAGGACCTCGGTCTCATCCGTCTCATCCGAAAGATGTTTAATTAGCAATAACAACACTGCTGAAATGGTACCCTAAGAAAGACCATTCTGGTCCATCAGCTTGACCAACAATAACCAGCATAAATCAACCTTGAACCATCAGCACTTAATCTGCTCTGAAAACCCTGGTTTTCAGCAGGGTATGTATACATTTATTTTTTGGGGGAGAGATGCTTTCCAAAGCAGCTATATGCAAGTCAGTATGGATACCTGAGGACCCAAAACTCTCTTCCTCTTCTTCTTCTTCTTCTTCCTCTTCCTCTAGCAGATTCTCTTCAGAGTCAGCATCCAAGAAGCTGAGCTGGGTGTGGAAGGAGGTTGTGAGGAATGAGGAGAGGTTTGCCATCTGCACCCTAAAGAGCAAAGGCATTTGTGGTGTCAAATAAATCATCTTTGTGCCTTAAAAATCATACTATGGCTCTTTTAATTATTACTGTCACAATTTTTCTGACCTTGCGCCTGCAAAGTAGCCATCTTGAAGCTTCCGGAGGGTAGAGAGGATACAGGGGTCAATACTGTCGCCATCCTCAACTAGCCCAATAACAGAAACAAAGAAAATGTTAATATTAGCCTGTGCATATTACAATATGTTCAGACGGTACCATCGAACAAAAGGTTTTACCCAGCATGCTCTGTGTGATAGGGAATGTGAGGGTAGGTCTTCCAGTCATCCGCCAGCAGGATGAGAGATAAGCAAGCTCTGTACGCAACATCTCCACAATCATCTGGTTATCCAGAGCCAAGTAGAAGTGATGCTGGTCAATGAACTATGGGAAAAATATATATTGTTATAATGTTTTCTACATTTTTTATTTTTTTGTAGTCTGACTGTAGAGTAGTTCTTCTACTATAAAATACTTGCATGTGAGGTCATTTTTATTTACCTGTGGAGTGAATGTGTAAGTACCATTTCTGATCTCATAAAACTTTGAAGTTCCCAAGACACCGATGTGCCTGTATGGTCGCCCACTCAGATCCAGTTTTTTACAGTTACCTGTGCAATGGAAAAAGGAACTGGTTTGTATCCAAGAATCTTAAAGACTTTCTACTAAATGCAGTTTTACAGATGTAGCCTTTGTTTACTCTCTGTCCTGTTGTCCTGTTAGTCATGGTGGATCTGGATCACTTACCCAGTTTCACGTAAATGTGGCTCAGGATGCGAGCTCCGGATGGGCGGATGGGCGAAACATCAGAGACGGTCTGAACCTCAATCCCTTGATCCCTCAGCAGCTGCTGGATCTGCACTGACTCAGCCACTACACTCACTAAACAGAACAAATAGAGCTGCTGGCAAAAAGGTCAGTTTGCTCTATTCAGCAAATTATAGAGTCAAGATCAAATTCAAAATTGAGCTTCAATAATGAATTGAACCTGCTCCTTAAATGGGCTTCAGCCCAAAGCAACCAGCTGAGTCCTTCCTACTATGTGGTAGATTTTCATTTCCAAAATATTAAAATATTAAATACTAATACAATATTAAACTCCCACCTTTTATAGATGGAAATCATACGATACAATACTGTTTATCATTGTATCATAATCATATATCACATGTGCTATATTATATATGAGCATATATATATAGATATATATATATATATGCTATATATTTTAACTTGAAAAATGTCTATTCAGTTTATTTGTTCTTGAAGCAAAATCTTTCAAACAATGAAAAATGTTTTTGTTATTGTGTTATTGGGAATCAACCTACAGTTTTTTTTTAAATTATAAACATAATCCTTGAGGAAGTCACATTTGTTTGATGAGAAAACAACTGGTTAAAAATAACTTAGCAATGAGTTTTTTGGTTTGTTTGAATTTTATGTTTTTGTGGTATTAGTTGTTAGTTAGTCGTATTATTTATATATTTAGAAATATATAATATATATATTATATATTTAATTATATACAGTATGTATATATATATATATATTTATATTAGTGCTGTCAAACAATTAATCACGATTAATCGCATCCAAAATAAAAGTTATTACATTATATATGTATGTGTACTGTGTATATTTATTATGTATATATAAATAAACACACACATATTTTGAAAATATTTACATGTATATATTTATATTCTTATATTTTATATTATATATATATATTTAACATATAAACATAATATATTTTTCATAAATATATACATGATAAATATACACAGTATATACACATATATTATGTAAACAAAAACTTTTATTTTGGATATATATATATATATATATATATATTTGTCTCAAACACGTTGATCATTGTTCACATTATTAGATATTATCATACAGATTTCTATAATATCATAATTTTAAAAGTTAACTCTCACATGACCTAACGGTCACTCCCTTAAAGAGCAACCTTTGCCCTTTATCTGTTTATTTCCTTAATATCTTCTAGTAGCACTTTATATCTTATTAATTTTGTTGTAAAACTATTGTGTAAGTTATCAAGTTATACAGTAATTAAAAAAGCTTAAGTGCCTGAGTTTGACCAAAACATATTTCAAAAAATCTGGCATATCGGATATCCTTTTCCCATAAATTACAGAAATTCAAAAGGTGATAACATAATTTAAGGTCTGTGTCTAAATATAGCAAAACCTAAAGAAATAATATTCACAAACCTTGAACAACAACATCTGGCTTGAATTCTTTAGAAAATCGCCTATTCAGAGGATCAATCTCTCCAGGGGCCAGAAATCCCTAATTAAAATGAATCATTCGTCAAATATCAGTAAAAGGAGCAGAATAGTTCAAACACAAAGAACTGCACAAGAAACACTGGGACTACTCTATTTTGACATTTCCCATGTGCACATAATCAACAAAGAAACCAAAGGTAGTGCTTCAACACCTGACAATCATATCTCATTAATTTGCTGATTACATATAACATTTCATATGAAAGTGGACCCAGGATCTAGTACCTCTGCCAGCAGACAGGCCAGGATATACAAAGACTGGCCCCACATGTGTGGGAGCTGGCCAGCGACCACACGCTCCACAGAGCGAGGGTTTCTGTACTCCTCCTCAACCTGAACAAGAAATAAATGCACAGATGAGCAACAGATTAAAACATTTTACACAGAATTGTCTATGTCACAGTTACTGAGCAGAGTGCAAACACCCATTCAACATGAATTAATTTTCAGAACTGGCATAATTTAGTACACATTTTATGCACCACTGTGTTTTTACACACAAAATATTTGAAATGATAAATGAAAGGAATATTTGAATATTTGAGATGAAAAAATGAAAGTGAAAGTGAATGAAAGTGAAAGTGGTGTGACGTGTAGCCAAGTATGGTGTCCCATACTCGGAACTTGTGCTCTGCATTTAACCCATCCAAGTGCACACACACACACACACACACACCGTGAACACACACCCAGAGCAGTGGGCAGCCATTTTTGCTCAGGCAAGTTGGAGATTCAGTGCCTTGCTCAAGGGTATTAAGGGTGGAAGAGAGCGCTAGTCATTCACTCCCCCCACCTACAATTGCTAGTACCGAGACTCAAACCCGCGACCTTTGGGTTACAAGTCCAACTCTCTAAACATTAGGCCATGACTGCCCCCTGCCCCATTCTGATGTGTATGCATGTGTATGATAAATGATAAATAATAATTTGTTGCAGATCAAAATTAGATATTGATGAAATGTGCATGGCCTTGATCTGAGTAAAAAAAATGGTATTCACTTTGTCAGCGGGTACAGCATAGAGTTCAGGCACCAGACGAATCCCGTGTTTGCCCCTGATCAAAACTCCATCAAGAGCCTCTCTGTACTCCTGCACCTGAGGAATGACACAGCTGTCAATCATTACTACATACTGTCTCCATGTGTAAATGAGTGGGAGTTAAAGAGATAGTTCACCCAAGGTAACACTTTATTTTAAGGTGTCCTTGTTACACACATCCATGTACTTACTATTATAATAACAACAATTAATTATGCATAATTACATGTAAGTAACCCTAAGCCAAACCCTAATCCTAAATCTAACCATATCGAAAGTACATGTAGTTAATTAATATTACTCAGTACTTAAATGTATAATTACACAGTAACAAGGACACCTTAAAATAAAGTGTAACCTCACCCAAAAATGAAAATTACCTCACGATTTACTCACCCTCATGCAATCCTAGGTGGTATATGACTTTTTTCTTTCAGATGAATACAATCGGAGTTATATTAAAAATGTTTATAATTGCAGTGAATGGGAGTCGAGATTTTGAAGCCAAAAAAGTGTATCCGTCCATCATAAAAAAGTGCTCCACATGGATCCGGGGGGTTAATAAAGGCCTTCTGAAGCGAATCGATGCGTTTGTGTAAGAAAAATATCCATATTTAAAACTTTATAAACCGTAATCTATAGCTTCTGCTAACTGTTGTACGCACGTTCACGAGAGAGTGGCGTTTCAGCGGATGACGTAGGACGTAGGCATAGCGGAAGCTCTAGAGAGCCAGGACATTTTTAATATAATTCCAATTGTATTCATCTGAAAGAAGAAAGTCATATACACCTAGGATGGCTTGAGGGTGAGTAAATCATGGGGTAATTTTAATTTTCGAGTGAACTATCCCTTTAATTCTCATTTCTAAGATTTACTGTAGCTGCTTTCAGAATACAGGTGAGTATTTATAGGATGGCCTGTTCGTACCTGCTCATGGTCTTCATTGAAGATGCCATCGAGTATAAGGTAAGTCCAAAACACTGGCCACTCACATTCAATGCTCTCAAAGAGCTTCAGCTCAGCTGGATCATAGTGAAGGCGAGTGGGGTCCTATCACAACCATAAAAACATAGAATGCACTCACACTGTCAGAGAACTAGCCACAAAATACTCATTTTGTGTAAAAAATAAATAAATAAATAAAGTGTCTGTTACCTCTTTTGGGGTCCTGTATCCATCTCGGATGAATCGACAACAGCCGTAACGTCCCTAAAATTATTGAAATTTGCTTAAAATTGTTTGTTAATTATTTTTTTTTTAAATAAAAAAAAAAAGCACCCACAGTTGCAAAGGGGACATAGTGATGGAAAAAAATTTGAGATGGGAAGAAAATTTAAATGTCAATGTTTCGCGTTAACTTCAAGGGAAGTCGTGGCCTAATGGTTCGAGAGTCGGACTCGTAACCCAAAGGTTGTGGGTTCGAGTCTCGTACTGGCAGGGATTGTAGGTGGGGGGAGTGAATGTACAGCGCTCTCTTCCACCTTCAATACCACGACTGAGGTGCCCTTGAGCAAGGCACCGAGCCCCCAACTGCTCCCCGGGCGCTGCAGCATATATGGTGTGTGTTCACGGTGTGTGTGTGTGTTCACTGCTGTGTGTGTGTGTGCACTTTGGATGGGTAAATGCACTCGGGGGCACTAATTCCGAGTATGGGTCACCATACTTGGTCACATGTCCCCTTCACATTTCACTGGGGTTGCATTCCCCAGAGAAACTTCCCATTCACTTGCAAAAGCACTAAAATGTGTTTTTTCCTCACACTTCACATTATTTTCATCATTAAGGATTTGAGAGTGAATGCAAAAGTTTTTCAAGCTAACACAAAAACAATTCAATATAATTCTTCCTCCCATCTCCCATCATGGTGATTTTACCATCACCATGTCCCTTTACGGGCTTCATAGAAAACACATCTGGCATAGTGTCATTGTTTTTTTATAATACAATATAGATGGCTCATTCTGTCTCAAGTGGTCCAGAAATGGTAAAGTTGGTTGCATGATCATTTTTAATTTCCCCCCACTAGAGATAATCAACCTAAGAGTAAGGGGAATTTAAAAAAGCATTTTCTTACACATTCTCGCACCCATAAAAATACAAATTAAGTAATAAAATTTAATTACATTTCAACCCTGAAATGTTCTGAAAAAAAACATTACTGCTGATACTTCAATCCTATTATAGACTGACCGTAAAAGTGGAACCCTGAGCAATCTTGGAAAAAAATGGTAAAGCAACCTCCACTGGACCACTTGAGATGGATAGCATAGCCCTTTCCTTACCTGCAACTTGGAGATGATTTCACTCTTGGTGATGTTGACCAGATCTGCATCCTCCACTGCAAACGCAGGAAAGGAGATTACAGAGAGCAGACCGGCATCTATCTCTTTAGAGGTGGAAGCTCGAGGAAGCATTGAGCACAAGATAGACTAGAAACACAAAGAGAAACAAGATGTTTGACTCAGGAAATCATGGATAACTCTTATTGATTGGAAAAAGCACCATTTTAAATGTGAAATCACTGACTTAAATACTCCAGAATAAACCTGGAGTGCATCTCCCAAAAGTAGATCATATAAATCATTGGTGCAAATAATACTTTTGGGAAATGCAGCCCTGGTCTGTAAAATAATAGCCAACTAAGAAGCAAATACAAATGATTAATTTACCTGACAATGTTCTACTTCATCTGGGAGAACATGAATCACTGATTTTGGGCCTCCATGAGCTCCAAACAAGTCAAGCTCATCAATGGCCTCCAAAGCTGCCTAAAAACGAACAAAAATCAACTTCTGCATGAACAGCCAGACCAAATGAGACCAGATGACTCTCCTACCTTAGCCATTCCGACAGAGCTGCCGTTCAGTTCAGGAATTCCTTGATTGGTTTTGTCTCCTCTCTCCCACATCCCATAATCCTGCAGGGGAGTGTGAACAGGACTGTGATACCGGTTTAGTAACTCTGTTAACTAAGAACTATGAGAACTTACAGCCACTTTGTACGCTGCCTCGATGTAGAACACCAGGTTCTGGATAAACGCCACCTCGTCCAAGTTAGATATGATCCGTAGACCTGAGATACAAGTTTTAATGATAATCAAAATGGTTGCTAAAAATAGAAAACACCACAGCACAAGAAAAAGCACAACCCAACAAGTGGAGGCTAAATTTAAGACCCCATGGAAATTTATGAGCATGTTGGGTTGCTTTGAGCAAATATTTGCGTTATAAGCAGGCCTACACACAATCTGTGGAATAATTTTTTCACATATTCTGCTCTAGTTTCTGGGGAAAATCTAGAGAATTCTGTGGAATGGACTTGCAAAACTGTACTACCTATGCTTTGTAGCTGAAAACATTTTTAAGTGTACCAAAGTAGCAAATTAACCAATTCATGAGTAATGTGGAGAACTTTGTAAATGATAGCCATTTCAATTTTGTGCAAATCTGTGAGTTCTGGGAGGACAGATTCTGTAAGGACCTGGCTATAAATACTCCTAAAAGTTGTCAAAACTTGTTTTACCACTTATACAAGTTGAAAATTTCAAAAATCATTTGATACAACCTGCCTCAGATTTCTTGTCAACACAGGAGTAAAAACTGTGCTGTCAAGAAATTTCAAGGGGTCTTAGAGGGATAGTTCCAAAAAAATAAAATCATTTACTCACCGTCATGTTGTTCCAAACCTCTGCAGAACACAACACCTTATATTTTGAGGAATGTTGTAACCCAAGCAGTTTTGGTGACCATCTGGAGAACATGCCTCAAAATCTTGTGTTCCAAATAAGAAAAAAGGTCGTGCAGGTTTGGAATAACATAAGGGTGAGTAAATGATTGAACAAATTAATTTTCATTTTTTGGGTAAACTATCCCTTTATGGATCAATCCATAGATTGTTCGTCTCACCTGAGGCGGTCATCTGAGCCAATGTGAGCAGGTACAGTGAAGTGGCATCAACCTGCAGGTGCCCCCACTGATCATCTCCAACCACTGTGGCACAGGTAGGAGTGTGATATTTGGCATGCAGGCAGTCCTTTGTGCTCTGTGTGTGTTTGAACTTCTCTACCTTTGCCACCTGCAGTAATATGCACATACTTAGTCAGGTCAAAAAGGTGTGTGTTCAGATGTCGGCAGACATGAGCTCAAGAATGAACGATGAACAGATTAATAAAAGAAAGTATAATAACTATATAGCTA